CGTGCTGGATACCCGCTCACCACTTGCATTTTAACGCCCTACCCGGGACGAGGCGGGACGAGGGAGGAGCGCTTCAACGCCACGCTAGAGCCACATTTTCACATCCTGGACCGGGCCGTCGCGGGCCTGACAGGGCGATTCCAGAGACTCCGACGACTGGATGTCGGGAATTACAGCCGAGCAAGAGCGGTGGTGTTGAGCACCTGCATCCTTCACAACATGCTAATGGACGTCGGACACGTGCCACATGGGGAAGTCAAAGAGGCGGGAGATTGTAGTCAAGATGGAGAAGGCCAAGAGGATGAAGCAGGTGTACACCTGCGGGACTTTATCACGGAAATTTTGCATTCTGGGAATTTGTGAGAGCTGCTGTGAGAATTTTTTTGATTTTTCATCATGTTTGCCGGCATACTATCTTATGCTTGTACCTTTTGAGACAGAGTAGGGATCTAACCAAAGATTGTTTTAGTAATCGATTAATCTTTCAATCCAGAATGTTCAATTAACCTACCATGCATGTGGGAGGAAACCGTAGTACCCCGAGAAAACCCTCGCAGGAACGGGGGACAACATGCAAACTCCTTGACTCACATCAAATAGTTCCAAAATGCTGTAAAGAAATAACAGCTTTTCTTTTCTCATATCAATATCATAGATTATGGCATTATTTGTGCCATTTGGTTACCTTTCGTCTATCGGAGCAGTAACGCGGTTTAAATATTTTGCTCGCATTACTGGGAAAGATCAAATTTTTGAATGATGCTCAACATGTGCGTCTAAGTTCATGGCAGCTAAAAAGGGTTGACAGGATGCCGTCGTCAGCGGTGTGGGAAGACCTACCGAAATACCGATGCATTTCCTCGTGCAGCTTCAGAACTCAGCTGAACATGTCTGCTGTGTGCTTAGGTCTCGCGACCCTCCTGTACGGTCCCGCTGTGCCTCACCCTGCTGTCCAGCCGCGTTAGCTACCGTACTTTGTCCCGCCTCTACCGCTTGGAGAAAGGCAACATCCACCGCATTTTCTTTTTTTTCTGCAAGTGTGTCAACACGCTGCGAGACGAGTACATACGCTGGCCCCGAGGTAAGGTTTTGTTGTGCAATGTTGTTGAGCCGGAATGGCGAAATGCCACAAACAGACTTTGGAAAATTACATTTGGTAGATTCGATATTTCTCTGCCTTTGGATTTTATACAGAACTCACCGAAGCGGGATATTCTCACACCTTTGTGCAGGTGTACTGTAAATTTGTGTTCCAGCTGTAATGGAAGTTCTGGCATTAGGTAGGGCTGATAAAATAGCAGGACCATATCATCATTGCGATAATATTCCCCCCCCAGCGGTGCATTTATCAGTCGGCCCGCCGGGAAATCGCCAGATTGTCCCGGTTTCCACTATGGGTCTGGTCCTACCCATTCCACTCTGGTTACAATGCAGAAAACTGCCATTTTGATAAAGATGTAGATGTTTCCCCCACAGGTGACGCGGCAGAGGCTGCCCTCTTCCCTCTCTCCGGAGTGCTGGAACATGACGAGCGGGTGGTGGAAGGCCGGCACATCCCTCGGGTGTTGGGAGTGTTGGGGCACACCCGCATTCCCATCCGGATACCTTCAAGGAAAGATAGTGCCGAGCCAGAAGTGAAGAGGACAAAGAAGACGGAAGAGCGTAACGTGTCTTGGCTCCATCTTGAATTGGTGTGCGACCGCATGGGACGCTTGATCCACTGCCGCATCGGGAAGACCAGGGATGCGGACCGAGGTGGCGCGCTTGGATCTCAACTCAAGCGGGAGTCTCACCCGATGCCTCCTGATTCCGTGCTCGTGGCTCGTGCTGGATACCCGCTCACCACTTGCATTTTAACGCCCTACCCGGGACGAGGCGGGACGAGGGAGGAGCCCTTCAACGCCACGCTAGAGCCACATTTTCACATCCTGGACCGGGCTGTCGCGGGCCTGACAGGGCGATTCCGGAGACTCTGACGACTGGATGTCGGGAATTACAGCCGAGCAAGAGCGGTGGTGTTGAGCACCTGCATCCTTCACAACATGCTAATGGACGTCGGACACGTGCCACATGGGGAAGTCAAAGAGGCGGGAGATTGTAGTCAAGATGGAGAAGGCCAAGAGGATGAAGCGGGTGTACACCTGCGGGACTTTATCACGGAAATTTTGCATTCTGGGAATTTGTGAGAGCTGCTGTGAGAATTTTTTTTATTTTTCATCATGTTTGCCGGCATACAATTGTATGCCTGTACCTTTTGAGACAATCTTTGGTTCGATCCCTAACCAAAGATTGTTTTAGTAATCGATTAATCTTTCAATCCAGAATGTTCAATTAACCTACCATGCATGTGGGAGGAAACCGTAGTACCCCGAGAAAACCCTCGCAGGAACGGGGGACAACATGCAAACTCCTTGACTCACATCAAATAGTTCCAAAATGCTGTAAAGAAATAACAGCTTTTCTTTTCTCATATCAATATCATAGATTTTGGCATTATTTGTGCCATTTGGTTACCTTTCGTCTATCGGAGCAGTAACGCGGTTTAAATATTTTGCTCGCATTACTGGGAAAGATCTAATTTTTGAATGATGCTCAACACGTGCGTCTAAGTTCATGGCAGCTAAAAAGAGTTGGCAGGATGCCGTCGTCAGCGGTGTGGGAAGACCTACCGAAATACCGATGCATTTCCTCGTGCAGCTTCAGAACTCAGCTGAACATGTCTGCTGTGTGCTTAGGTCTCGCGACCCTCCTGTGTTTGTTCTGCACGACTCCTGCCAAAACAGGTAAGGCTGATACAGAGGCTGACGTGACAAGCTCCAAAAGGGGAAAACAATGATGACATCTTACAAATATGAAATATCGTAATCTTGTGTCTGCCTCAGTGGAGAACATCGAAGTGATAAGGAGACCCCCCGGCGGATCTGTGTCCATCCAGTGCAGTCATGTTCCACAGGGCGAAATGCACATGACTTTTTTCAAAGGCCTCAAGAAGGATTTTCAAATTCTTCACATGATGTCCCAAAAAACCACCACCGCAAAGGAGTTCAGCGGCAGACTCCGGGTGGAGGGAATCTTCCCCAATGTGGACGTGATCATCTCGAACCTGACCTCAGAAGACACGGGGTTGTACTTTTGTGACTACCAGTGGTATGACGACGCAAGGTCAGAACAAAAGAGGGTAGACGACGATAGTCCGGTGATGCTGGTGGTTGAAGGTGAGCGCACATCACCTCATGACATCATTATGTAAAGGAATAGATCAAATGCATCTCAAAAGTATTGCACAGAGCAATGCTGTTTCGATTTTAAACAATTTGGTGGGGTATCTTAATGTATGTGTTAAAAAATAATCATCAATAAGTAATAATCATGGATTATTTATTTTAAAAACAATGAGAACATAACTCCAACTCAAATGTTGCTAATGCCTGAACTGCTTGGCTTTCTCATGACTGCCTAATTGACCAATAAAAACAAGTGGCTACTTGTTGCTATGCAGAGTTCTCAATTACAACTTCTTCATAGGGAAATGAAGAACTTGGTCGCTTGTTGCGAGGTGGAATCATTGGCTTGAATCCAAAGCGAGCCATCGGGCAATAGAAAATAATGGTCACTTGTTGCTAGGCAGGATTCATCAGGCCTAATCTTTGCACTGTGCTCTCATTATTATTGTCTGGAACAGTCGCATCGGACATTAAAAGTCAATCCCGATGACTACTCTGGTCTGGTGCGCTGTGTTTGGTTTCTACTCTCAAATGCGGCAAAAAAAAAAAAAAACTTTCTTTTTTTTATTCTCTCATCCTCAAGAGT